GTTATCACCAGGTATATAATCTAAAAAGTCCTTGCACCTACTTTTAAATCTCCAGCAATAAATAAAGACGTATTTGGGTGATCAGTAAATATATCATTGAGAAAATACCATTTATTTTGTTCTTTATCATCATAATAACATGAAACTTCTGGTGATATATATGTTGAATACATAATTATATCTTCACAAGTAAACAATGTGGATAACTCAAACTATAATACTACACAATTGTCATATTCATTATATAAGCGACGAATACTATTTAGTTTTGCAAGATTACTTCTAAAACACCTCCGCTATTCCTTATGGAGTTAAATTTCATATTACGAACAAAGTCAAAATGTACATAACAATTAGTAAAATTGTCAAATTCACCCTTAAATTTACTCCATGTTTCACAAAGGACTATAATGTCATAACTACTTAAAAAGACTTAACTTCTAAATTGTCAATAAATTTATAAAGACCGCACACATTCCATGTGATAATATTTACATCGGTTTTATTGTTTATTTGGCCTTGGCCGATTACCTAGAGGTCACGGTCACTGTCGTCCGCTATGTGATCCTGGCTGTCGATTGGTTGAGTATATTTCTTACTAGCTAATTGTCTTTTTACTCACACGCCCACGCGAAGATGTGTTACTACTGTTGTAGTAATTTTGACCGTGAGAGGCACGGGTTTCTGCGTCACCATTCCCGCGACTAGCGTCCAATCGCTGCAATTCGTTGTTCGCGCCAACACGACCACGTGATCTCGAACTACCAATCCGTTCGACTGTATTGTCTGTGTCGTTGTATTTGTACATGTCACCGTCAACAATGAGCTTATCGAAGCGAAGTGATGCATATTTGCCCTGGTTTCTGGCCTCAACTTATGTTTTGGTCAGTTCTCGCCTGTGTAAATGTACACGCTCAGTGTAATCTTCACGCACTGAATACTGCGATTGCGAGTTAAGATTTTGATGAGCCGCCCGCAATACATATTCTCGGTTCTTGTATTTGCTTAACTTCGCTATAATGGGGCAACTGTCCGATCGTCTACTGCCTACTCTATGGGCCCTCTCAATCTCAACATTTGCCAATTCAGTTAGGTTAAGTGTATTACAAATAAAGTCTCCTAGCTCAGAAATACGGCCTGCAATACCAAGAAATCGTAAATTATTTCTACGTGAATGTCCCTTGAGCCTGTCTAACTTCACAGACAGATTAGAAAGTTCCTGCTTCATACATATATTTTCTTGCCTAACTTTACATTTTAACTTTTTAGCACGTTTACTGTTTTATTTATATCATCAATTGTGCTGTTATTGATCGATAAATCAGTTTTCCTCACGTAAGAAAGCCATTACCTCAGAATCATTTGCCCTTTTAGCACGGGCTCGTGTTGTACTTTGGGACGGGGGTGGTGGTGGCGTTTCTGTGACCTCGGCAAAAGATAATATCCGTTGTTTCTGTTGTTTTGGCAGGCCAGGGTTCAGCTCAACATCCCACCCAGTATGGTTAGCACGGAGAGAAAGACATCAAGTCTCAAACACACACTAACACTTTGCCGACCCACAAATAAAACACGTAGTTTACATCCTTTCTTGATCGGCATAAAAAACAATCCAATTCGAATACGGTAAAGTCCTATATCAATTCCCATTTTGCAAGATATTAGAGCAGAAAATTACACGTGTGCCATTTGTTTTTTCTGTTTTTTTTTTTTATTGCAGTGAAATACTGATCTATTAAAATATACCAAATGTAAGCAAAAAATAACAAACCTAAATATTTTTTAACCCTAATGAAAAATGATTAATATAACTTAGGCCAAATCGTCAGTGTAGCAATTCGTTATATCATCTTTATATCCGCTGATTATCTTTTGTTTTAAATACAATTCTTGTTTCTCTGTTATTCTTAAGCACGCCCGAGGGGCCTGCGCGCAAAGCGAGCATATGCATATCGGCAACGCGAGTATCTCCAGAAGTGATGGTTTTGAAAACTTTCGCCGGAAATACAGCAAAATTATGGGTCAAAAGTTTGCCGGTTCTTCATCAGAGGTCATTATGGTTCCTTATCCTATATATGTGGAGTACGCCATAAATAAGTACCACCAGGTTACCTGCACTATTGTTAAGAAAAACGCACCGGGAACAGTTTTTCTCATTATGATTTCCATTAAAATTGACAGTCAGAATTTCTTGCCAATTACCATTAAACCAAATGCGAAGTTTCGCGAACTTACGTTTTCACAAAATCGGACTCTCTAAGCGTATTCACGATCATAAAGTACGTAAAATTGTGACTGATTCAAGTCTTTAGCATATATTATGATAAATTGAGGTAAAAAATCCTTTATCCAGTAAAAAAAATGGTTATCGTATTTTTCTTTTCTATCAAATTTCCATTCTAAACTTTGTCGTTTTTGAACATTTAATGTCGTGCACCCGTGATGATTAGATTTCAGGACGCTTTGAAAAAAAAAAATTAAAAAACTAAAGGTTTAATAGAAAGACCGTAGTAATGTGAAAGATGACAATAGGGTTAATATTATATAAAATGCTATCATTGAAGTAAATACCTGTTTTCATATTAGAATATATCCTTTTCTTTTTTATTCAGATGATTTATGATTCAAAAACAAAACTATTTCAATACTATCTGGCATCTTTATGAATTTGCGAAGCGTAATGGTTTATTGGCAATTTTCTGAGAAGAATTTATGAATAAATCTTATATTTATGACATATTATAATTAATAAGATCTAATAAAGTAAAGTATTAAGATATCATCAAGTAAATTATTATGATGCCATTACAAGGCAATAATGATATTCTTTGTGTTCGTGAATACTTTTAACATTAAAGATTTAGCTGTAGCCTCTTATTATCCATAAAATCTAATACAAATGCTATAATAGAAATAAAGTTAAGAACTAACATCGGTTTGAGCGATGTTTATCGGCAATTCAATACCACAGACACTGGATGTGTGGAGCTAAAAACGCCTTTAAATCCAAATAAATATAGGTTTGTCAATCCCAGCACATGTACTGATCATATAAATCAAAATAACTTAATATAAGCCCAAAATCATTATACTCCATTTACAAAATCTTTTGACCAATTCACAATTTGCTCCCCAGCTTTGCCGTATTCAATTGCGCTGCGCTTTGAATATGGGAGCCAACATATAACCGAATGGCTCCGACTATTGCTGACTGGTTCTCATGTTTTCAAAGTGACGCACATTTGAAGGAGCCAGTTGTGAGTTTTAGGATTTAGTAAATGGACTATAATGTTTATTTCGCTTGTTGCGTTGTTTATATTGATGTTGAAGTTTGTGACGACGTACAAAAGGATTATGTAAAAATATTGGAAATAGAATAAAATACATGATGATATTGACGGTAGGTGTGCTTTTATTTCGACGAAAATTTTTCTGTGTATTATCATAAACGTTGAAATATGATTTTTTAAACGGCTTATTTAACGTTTATATATAATGTGATCAGTACATGTGCTGGAATGGTGAAATATTCATTTTTATATGATTTTAAAGGCATGTCTGAGTTGAATACTGGTCCCGCGTTTGGACGTTTAGACGCGTAGGAATTCACCTAGAAGGCCGTATTATAAGCCTTTTTTGGGTCTTATAATTTATCCAGTATAAAGCAGCAAAAAATAAAATAAAAAAACAAAAACAAAAAAAGAACAGAAAATCTGAGTATAGTGTTTAATACGAAAATAGTAAGACAATACGTGAACACATATTTATGAATGAATCGATCACATTTTTTAAATTACCAACGTTTCCCATAAAAAAAGTCCCATTTTTTGGGATTAAGAAATTTGTACCAGAAAAACCAACAGAAACCAATTTAAACTGTACCAGTACTTTTCCCTTTTAAACAAACATGCTTTTATTACACCCCTTTTGGTTGGTATTGATTCCAAAAAAAATATGGAATGTTAAAACGTTGAAAATTTGAATACAAGTAATTGTGAACCCCAAACTAAATGATATGCACAAACCTTATAGCGTGAATAACACAAAAAATGTGATAACGTAAACAAATGTGATAACGTGAACAAATATGATGTGAACACATATCTAATAATGTGGACAATTGTGATTACGTGAACAAATGTCATTACGTGAACAAATGTGATTACGTGAACAAATCTAATAACGTCAACAAATCTAATAACACGAACATATCTAATTACGTGAACAAATCTCATAACAAGAACAAATGTGATAACATACATTAATGTGATAACGTGACCAAATTTAATAACGTGAACATATCTCATAACGTGAACAAATGTGATAACATGAACGAATATAATAACGTGTAGGAATCTGATTATGCGAACACATGCACACACACGCAAGTACTCTCAAAAATCACATACATACACACACACTAGGAAAAAGATAACAACAAAAATAAAAAAAGATCGCCTCCGTGGTCGAGGGGTAAGAGTCGATGACTTCTAATCCTGTTATCTCTCTGGCGTGGGTTCAATCCCCGGGAGATGCTTTGGTAGTTTAGCACGGAGGAAGGTAGTCTAGTACTGGTGTAACTATCCAGGAACGATGGTTAGGAAACTACCTGCCTATATGACTGAAATACTGTTGGGAAAAGGCGTAAAATGAAACAAACAAACAACAATAAAAAACAACAACACAATTGTACAAAAAATATAAGCAATCATTTTTAGTACATGTTTAATTATGAATAGAAGTAAAGGTAATTGATGGCTTAATCTTGTCCTTATTATGTTTGATATAATCAAAACTAAAACTATGTTGTTGTTTATATTCATTTATTGCATGCCTTTCGCTGGTTTAAAGAAATATATCAGTGAAATATAAGTCTGGTATTTTCACTGTTTAAAACAGTTAAATTATCAATTTGATAATTTCACTGTTTTGAATTTAATCCCCTAACGTTTTTTCAGTGAAAGCGTGCACAGTACTGGAAAGTGAAAACCAACTAATGACGTGACGTCGTAAAATGACGTCACATTGTATATTTTTGGCGCCCTTTTCATTTAGTATTACGCTGACATGTTTTTTTAAACGTTTCTATGCATACAATAAAAAATTGTTTAGTTTAGTGTAAGATTGAAATATATTTCACCTCGTGAACAGCAAAAGTTCATATTTCACTCATTGCAGCGCCACTCGTGAAATATACTTTTTGGTGCTCACTCGGTGAAATATAGTCCGATCTTACACTGAACTAAACAAACATCCTCTAGTATACATATGATGTTCTCGAAATCCCAATGATTTACTCATATATCCGTATGCGGCAAAAAAGTTGTCTAATATGTCAATGATTCTTTAAACGTACAATACACTTGATGGCCGACTATTTTAAAGCATTCTATAAGCTTTAAATAAACATGAAAGTAAAGAAATAATAATACAGAAACATTTTCGACAAACAAATTGCAAGAAACAATATTCACGCGCTTTCATAATGTTTATTGTTATTTTAATTTTCTAGTCATTAGCTTAATAATTGTTGTTTGCACATGAAAGCATTACTCTAAATCTGAACAGTTATTGATGCAGCACAACTCCCATCGCTTGCTATGATCAGTAGTGTAACACCAGGGTTTCCCGTGTCCGCTTGGTTCACGACAGTAGTTCTTTGCCTTGCTGACGTCACCTTCTGGAAACCTCTCGGGTTTGCCATATTTGTGCTTGTGTGGATATTGGGAATCCCAATTTTGACATTTTATACCACTCTGCGTTTTTGTAACAGTTCCAGCATAAAGCTCTGACAGGTTTGTGTCGTAGCAATATTTGTATGGGCCTAAAAGTCACAATATAACATTTAATACAAGTAGATAACTTTACTAAAGAACATCAAAGCACTTTTTAAGTTCAGTGGTCTTTTCTTCTTTCAACCTTTGTGTCCTTGAATGTAAGAACAAAACAAAATGTATCGAGAACAATTTATTATATGCATAACCCCACACTTACTTACAACATTCATAATTCTATAATTATTTCGTGTTTAGTTGTCTGTCTAGTGTGAAACAGTCTACACCTACAAGCATAATTATTTATGATATCACAGACCTTTCACAATGAACCAGTTCCTTGTAATGTATTGCAGGCCTTCCACAATGAACCAATTCCATTTAATGCATTGTAGACCTTCCACAATGAACCAATGCCATTTAATGTATTATAACTATAAAAACATTAGTATACAATAACTTACATTGTTCAATATCACAATATTGCCATCGTTTAGATCCGGTCGTGTAGCACCATGGGATTTGGGCACCTGAAGTGCTTCGGCAGAAGTTTCCCGCTTCTTCGACAGACTCGTCTGGGTAGTAGTCCGAGTGTGTGTATTTATGGACATGCGGATATGACGTGTCCCATCTCTGACAAGGTATATTATCCATCTCACAAGTCGTCAACAGACTAGAATTGTCTTTACGCTAGCTAGACAGTTAATACGCCCAAGAAAATAAATTGAAGACGATATTCCGGCAAGTAATTTTACATCAACGAACTCTTTCAACGGACTAAAAAGTCATTAGAAATTTTTTCATTAGTAAATTAATTTAAAGATCCTCTATGTTGTAATTAAGGTTGTTACCACACTTAATTGAAAGTCTAAATATGTATATAATTATGCTTCTAAAACAATTTTTAAACATAGAAAAATATGTAAAATATGCATTGCAAATATTTGCCATTATTAAATGCAATCATTAAAAATATATGCATTCATTTTTTATTGAAAAATGTGACTTGGACTTTATAGAAAATGAATTTCTAATTACCTCCCTTTATTTACATGAAAAGATAAATTCGGTAATATCTTTACAAATCATGCTTTATGGCACTTACAATATTGATAAATCTTAATTTGAGCATTATATTTATGATATAAAACCATAAAAAATGTTTTACAGGATCTTTAAACGTAATCATTTCCTGTCAACCTTTAACGCAATATCATAACAATTGTCTAGACTAAAATTCTTTCGTACTAGACGGAACATTGCAGTAGCCCCAAAGCTCATATGCATAACTTGTGTAGCACAAATGCCTTCCGGTATTGCTCGGGTCACGGAAATAGTTCTTTACTGCGTGCACTGATTTTTCTGAAAATTTTTCGTTAACTGTATAACTATCATATGGTTTATGCGGCGTTTTCGAATCCCATCGCTGACATTCGGTTCCTTTAAAGGAACTCCACTGGGGTAAATAAGCCTAAAAACATAAATTTTTTATTTTTCACATAGGTCAACATGAGCACTTATTACAGAAATATGAATAAGATAATGCCACACCATTGTGCTATACCACTGAAGTACAAAATGGCAATACTGCAACATCCCAAACTACATAACCTGAAAAAGAAAACACGTTTATGTGAGAAAATATATCACATATGACTGCAAATTTACAATAAAAATATCCCATCTGCAATAGTCTGTCAATAGATTTCGTTGAAGCCCAAAATCTAGTTAGGTCCGAGACCCGAAATCAACACACTTTGACACCCTGGCAAAAAACCCTGCAAATGTACAGGATACAGATACACAATCTCCACTTTAGCAACTACCTTAACAGGCAAAGTATCACAAAGAAACTGGTACTTTGCCTTGTAGATTGTTTGCCACTGCTTAAAAGTTGTACCTCCGCCTGTAAAATGACTTGTTTACCAACCATGCTGTTTAAAAGAAATGTTTACAACAAATTGCGGACTTGACATTTATAATCAACAGCATGTGGTCTCTGGCTTTTTTCCCCGAATTTGCAGTGATCAACTCAGATGTCACAAGAAAATTTCATGCAGAAAATGCTTTTGAAAGACAGTCAGTCATTTTTAAAATCCAGTCACAATATCCAAGAAATCCTCCCTGGAAATTTAGCGGCTGTGGCGTCAATTATTTGGTGTGCTACCTTATCCTTGTATTTTATCACAAAGAACGTTGAATAAATCTGCAACTTAACGCAACTCTTCATGATGTTATGACGTAGTTTGTTTGCAATAATATCCTTATGTAAAAATCTCTTTTTATTGGATTTAAGTCACTTCTTACAATGTTAGAGCAGAACCTGTAACCGCTTAGCAGAAATAACGAGCAAAAAGTAGAAAAAAACACCCATTTCGGCCTTTCCTACATTGTTCAGTCATAATATTTGTAAATAAATCGGCATTAGGAGATAAAGTAAAAACTTCTTAAAGTGCATTTTGTCGGGTGAAAAGGCGAGATTTAAGTATCTAATTATTCAAGCTCCTTGTCCGGTTTATGCCGGGAAACGGTATAACAGTTGTGTGCTCCAACAGTGTTTAGGTCACTTCTATTGACCATCAATTGCAATTGGGGACATTGGTAGTCATATAAATAATTATCGCTTTAATACAATTTAATTTTACAAGTCAGTGATGTAAAACATAATAGAAATTCTTTTGTTTGACTGGTAAAATTAATAATGAAATTGTTTGTTGCTACACTTATTTATGAAGAATTTAAAAATATTGCTTGAAAAATGCATATATTAATTTTACTTATTTTTTCACTTATTTTTCCCATTACAGTGAAAAAACTTATTTTTCCGTATTTTAACTGCTAATCTTGCGGGGGGGGGATCGGATCTTAAGGTTAATAAGTATATGATAAACATACAATTTTATTGTCATCTCTTGTAATGTAAATTATCATATTCCATAACACTTGAAAATGAAACTGGTATTTATATAAAAACATGTCCTCTACCTATTCTTTTTTTATACGAAATAAATAAACATTCGATAAGTTTCCACCCTAATTTCAAATAAAAACGCGACATTCTCTCAATGCAATGTTTTGTTTCTATTTGTGAAGATAAAATGATGATATTCAAAGTCATCACAACAATTAAAATATCGAGACGTGTACGATTATATTGAGAATGTTAAGTCTTTGGTTAATTTGTTTACGGCAAGGGTTATTGCAATTCATTCCTTAGAAGCGGTGACACACGCTTTTAATAACAATCAATTACAGCTGTTTTGCATATTTTTCTTAAAGGTAGTTATGATTATTTGAAATATATTATAGCCTAAACTTGAAGCCATTCATGCCCCAGAAAGATATATTCTTGCCTTTTCATAAGAAGGACAAAGATGGTTACTAAAACGTCTAAAGAAGATGGATTAGAGCATGTTAAATACTTGTAGCGTGAAATAAGTAGCGCTGAGTGTATAATTGTTAAAAAGTAGGAAAATGTAAATAAAGTAGTATTTTAACACCCAAAGGAGAAAAATAATGGCTCTAAGTACACTATTTGCCAACAATTCAACCCACATTCAAAAAATAGTTTCAGGAAATTGGTCATTGGTAACGTTTTGGGAACTAGAGCAGGGCTACACACATCATGAGATAAAATTTGAGAAATAAAAACAAAGCATTTATGTTACACAATGGACTGAAAAGTGTTGAAGTACATATCCCAGTAGCATCATACGTATTCAAAAATAGAATTTCACTGATTAGTTCCATTGATTGGTTTAATAGAATTACTTATTATTCAGAGAGTTAAATTGTAAAATAAATGGTAATTCAGCTTGTTTTGCTTTTGGGTTCAGGTTTTTGAAACCTTTTCTTTCTTTCTGAAAGTATTTAATGAAATCAATTAGGCGATATTTACCGTTGGCTCGAATAAAATGATATACAAAAAGTATAATATACGACAATGAATTCGAAATGGGCATCTTTCCTAAATGATTATTTTCAAAAAATACTACCTAATTGATTGGCGTCACATAAGAAGCATTCAAATTAACATTAATTTTATATATATGTGTTTGCAATAGGTCTATCAATTGTTCTCTTCCCTGATTCAAAATTTCTCTCTTTTTGTTAGTACAATGAAATCAATTACGTATAAGAATTCTAAAAGTGTAGTTTATCTAGAGGCGTTTTTATTGTCGTGGTTGTTTCAATTTGATAAATTTAGAGACATTATACATTATATTTAGATTAATCTGATACTTACATTGCCTTTAACAGCATAACTATTTGATTAATTTTATAATCTAGCGAGCTTTTATAAGGTAGCGATTATACAGTTTGAAAACAGTTCTTGAATATCTCTGCGTACAAGTAAAGTTCGTCTTAGTGAGTGTAAAGATTTTTAGTGAAGACATGGATATCCAAATAATCCTTTTATTATTAACACTAAAAAAATATTTTTCCAAAGTAAGACCGCTTCTGCAGTGGAAAATATTTCAATTCCGGAAAAAGTAAACGAGCTCTGTCCATCCTCGGACATATGCTACACCAAAGCTTCGCAAAAAATTCATTTCGAATGATTCTTTTTCCTTATGCTGCACACCATCGTCACTGTGATGATAAGTGTGGATCCCGCCTAGATTTTCTTCTTTACCATCTTGATAAATACAAACTTGTTGAAAAGAAAAAAAGGGCCGCATGTATTGACACGGAAATAAAATATATGACGGAGGATCAAAGAAGCAATCATGAAAAAAACGGTTTTTATTATGATTCAAGCATGTAATATAGACACACTAGATACAAATAATAAACCTAAATGAAGTTGATTACTGTGAGAAAAACTGACAGGAATGGCAAAACTTTGATTTGAGCCCGTCTCTTCAATAGACACTAATTTTAATATATTTAACACGAAATGTGCAATGTGCAACGGAGTACGTACGACACAAATTAGACGATGGAATTACATCGTAAAGAAGGTGAACATTTACGAGAGCCAGAACATATTATGGGATCGAATCTATGTTTTCCGCCAGAGGACGAAAACTGGTCACATAAGCGTTGCTTTGATAACTATAAGTATAAGTCAGTATGTTCTCCGCCAAGACTGCTTCAGCTGTGTTCTTAATCTCAACGCGCCATTTTTATTTTTGTCTTTTTGAGCCACCGTTTAAGAATGTTTTCTGTGGCTTTGCGATTATACCAACTTTCATGGACTATGCAGTCAACACTTATTGCCAAAAAGAATCAATCAAAGGTGCCAGAGAAAGATGATGCTACTACTGGATTTTCCACGGTGCATTTATGATTCAAGAACACTGAAAGGGAAGTCATGGTGAAAGTACTAACACGAATGTACGATTGCATCCCTATTTTCTTGATATAATTTATATAATAATATAAAATAATAAATAATAATAATAATAATAATAATAATAATAATAATAATAATAATAATAATAATAATTAATAATAATAATAATTAATAAATAATAATAATAATAATAAAAACTAAAAAATAATAATAATAACAATAATAAATAAAAATAATAATAATAATAATAATAATAATAAATAATAATAGAAATAACATTAATGATGAATGATGATGATGATGATGATCATGATGATGATGATGATGATGATGATGATGATGATGATGACAGTTA